GCCAAGAATGCTCACAGCTGTCAGGAGCTTCCTGCTCTCCAGCTGTGGGGACTGCCTGCCCCTCACCCCAGCCTGCCTCAGCTCAGGTTCCCTCCTCCGTCTGTCAAGTCCCAGCTCCATTCTCAAGGCTCAGGCCGGCTGCTGCCTGTTGCAGAGCCTGCCCGCAGCCTTCCCCAGCTGGCTGCTCCACTGAGCCTGGGCCCTGGCCCCTGGGCTGTGCAGCTGTGCCCACATGGTGACAGGAGTTGAGTCATAACCCCGTACCCTTCCTCTGAGCTCCCCAAGCCTGACAGGCTCTCAGGGGGGCAGGGCAGGAGGACATAGGTACATGCTGAGTGCCTACTAGGTCCCAGCGTGAATACATCCCAGGGGCTGTAGTAGGGTCTTGTGTGGGGACCTGCCCAGCCGAACTGTACCTCTGCTCAGAGGCTGCTCCCTCAGCCACGGCCATGTGACACAGCCCAGCCAGCCAGAGTGAATAATCCCATCTGCTACCAAGAGGCCTGGTCAATCTCCACACAAGAGGCAGTGCCTGAGAGGGTGCCTCTGTGCCACAGCCCCGCCCCACCACGGGCACTAGTCTGATCGGGTTTGTTCCTTGTGCTCAAGGAACCTCTGATGGTAATATTACTCCCACTTTACACATGACAGGACAGGGGTGGTTACGTGCTAGGCTGCTAACCATTGGGTCAGCAGTCTGAAAGCACCAGCCACTTCCTGGGTGAAAGATGAGGCTTTCTACTCCTGTAGAGTTACAGTCTCAGAGCCCACAGGCAGTTCTACCCTGACCTATAGGGTCACCACGAGTCAGCACTGATTTGATGACAGTTTTGGGTTTTGACAAGTGAGAAGACAGGGCTCAGAAAGGTCAGGTAATTTGCCAAGGCCAGCACTCTAAGCCTGCCTGACTCAGCTGTTTGCCTGTCTGCCCTCCAGAGCTGGGCCCTGGGATGAAAGAGGATAGACGGCCACAAGCCCCAGCCCTCCCCGAACTCCCCAGGGATGGGGCGCTCTAATGGGCAGTCCATCGCCCCCTTGGGGCTGTTTGTCTGGCCTCGGGACCTTGGGGGGTGGGGGGGACAGTACCTTTCCTGAGAGGTAGTTTGCGGTTGAAGGTCAAGGGCAGCACAAGGAAGCGGGTCTCGCCCAGGGGCTCCCAGAACTGAAGCAGCCGGACAGTCCAGGCTCCAGGCCGCAGGGGCCGGCTCAGCGGGGGTTTGTACTGCGTGACCTCAGTCTCTGCGTCTACTGTGATGTCATAGGACGTGGCCACCACATAGCTAGGGTCAATCCAGACCAC